CCAAGAAACATTTTCGCCTCGAAAATGCCACAGAATGTAAATGAACTCGGGAGTGAAAGGTGGTTTCCGGATATTTTTTGAATTACCAAGGGGACTGGCGAGGCACTGACTTCTCCATTTTCTTAATTAAGTTTGGAAGATAAATTTAAAGTTGGAACAAAAGAGCCTCACTGATTGTGGAACTGATTGAAAAATTATAAGGTAGGATAGTAGCCATTCGCTTAGTAACAACATTACAGAAAAAGTAGAGTTTAATCGGTGCAAAAGTGCAGGTATAGCAGGCAAATATTTTTTACTCACTATCCACAACTGACTTTTTCATTGCCACTGAATAAACACCTTTTGTTTTGGTTGAACACTGAGGGAGTGGAAAGGCCCGGGTGATTACAGTATTTGCATGCTCTTGTATGTTTTAGCCGAAATCATGTGCCTTCATTAAGGATTTCACATGAGTAACCCAAGCAATGCATTGTTCACTTGACAACGAGAAAAAAATGCACAAAACACGCAAAGATGAAGGCAGAAAATTAGTCACCAAACTGTTGTAATTTTTTTTATGTTAACCGGTTTATTTTTGTCTTCACTCTTATAGCAGCCAAATAATGCCTAAATCACCCGATGGGATGAACAAACCCACCGAAATGAGTTAATGTGCTAATGCTTGCAGTTTAGTCATTTGTCTAAGAAATAGCATTTGGTAAGTACGAAATATGTCAGCCCCAGGTAATTTTGATGGATAGATGCGTCTACAGACTTACGTAAACCAGAAAGAAACTTCTATTGTCTAACATTCTCAATGACCTACCGGAAGAGGCAGCTTGGGACTCACTCAAATCCACTAGAGACCATAACCTACATCAAAATCGGTTTGATGGAGTGACTCTATTCATAAGACAGGCGATGGATCAACTTTCAGGCAGCAAGTAATGATCAAGCTAATATTAGAGTCGGAGGCTAAAAGCAGGTCCCAGTTGACACCTTGACTTATCAGTCAGTGCATAGTTTTGTCTCGAAGAGGCAGGCGTCCACCTCATGACGACAAATCTATTACCTTATCTGGCGGACTGTGCGTGAAGAAAGCTACATTGAGGCCGTGAGTAAGGATCTGCAGCTCTGTCCGGACAAATGTAGGGTTGTGACCTACTTAACTCGAAATCTTAAATTCTACAAATGCACAAAGACTGATTGTAGGTTGATCGAAGTGCGCCATTATTCTAGCTACTTCTGGACCGATTGGAGTACAGAGTTAAAACCATTTGTTATCATCTATTGGAAGTTTTGTTCGTGGCTTCCAGATAATGGCAACAGTGTTCTTTCAATGACGATCAATCAAACGTCGAAATCATAACTAAGAAAGTCGAGAACACAACACTGTTTCCTCTTCTTTGAGACGAAACCATTAGCGAACACATAAACCATGCAAAGATTCGGCCCGACAAAGTGACCCAAATCATGCAAATCGCATAATTCACCAATGCACTCACTGGGAGATTTCCACACAAGTTTGGATGCCAAATTTACTGTAGTGGTGCAGTTATGGAAAGCGGTATTAGCGCTCTTTGACACTTGTTAAGACGAGATAATTGGGACCAAAACTGGGGAGCATGCATAGTGGTCCGTCAGATATTTTAAATCTTGCTTATGGTATGACTATTTTGAAGTGTGGAACCAAATGCCAGCATGATGAAATTGCTTGAGGTTGTACACATTTACACTCTCAACTGTTTATACTTTAAACGAGAATCGAATTGCATTCTGCTGACGCCTAACTGTCGATCTCTCACATACAGTTTATCGTTGCATCATGCAGCTCTGGTGATGACGCAAACTGAGGTTTGGGATGAATAGCGCATAAAATGGGTGCACGAATGGGTGTTCACAGCAAATGTGGTGAGTAACTAGTAACAAGCACTGCATTTTTAAAGTCAATTATGATTACCTGCGAGAGAAGACAAAGATAATGCGAACAAGGGTTCGCCAAAACTTAGTGGCTTCAAAGGGGGTGAACAACAATGCTTAAGCAAGAGAAGGGAATTTCCGATAAGTGTGCTTTTCTGTGAGTAACGAATCTAGTGTTAGGCTGTCAACGAGACTTGTGAGATGAGTATAACATGAGGTGTGGGTTTCGACGCAGCTCACTGCCGTAAAATTGGTACCAGGAGCATAATGTGGGCACCACAAAACGCAGCTAGGTGTCTGCCTGTTGCAAAACTACTCTTTAGTGTCGCCCCTGCACTTTCTTCTCACATTGAACGCGTCATATCGCAAAAGACCAGTCAAGTTCGTTGGACGCAATTGAAGCCTTCATGCCTTGCAGACTCGGTTTAGTTCAAAGCCATTAATGACGAGGTCTTTGAAACCAACTCTGTCCAATAAAGTTTGGAGGTGCAACGGCATTGGCCAAAGAGTTGAACGTGTTAATTGGAACGAAAGGATAACTAGTCTTAAACCCCATCAAGTGGAGAAATGTCTACCGATAGTCGCCGGTCCATTTCTCCGCTAATTCGATGGACCAGTGATTTTAAAACCGCCGTTATCTAGTCTAGCAACACCGAGTAATGAAAAGAGGAAGACGCTTGGATGTAATGCATATTCCTAAGATGGCGCTCTTCCACACGCCTTGTCCGTTATATTGGCTAGTTCGAACTTAAATTTTAGGGAGGGACGAGTTTTTCATGCTGCCGATACTTTTCGGTATGAACGTTGGCTATTGTGATGAGAAATAAAGTAAGATGAATTTTGTGCTATAATTTTTGAGGCTACTCACTTCTTTGTCATGAAATAACACAAAGGCTCTCATAATCGTTTCTCATCATTGACATTTCACACAACGGCCACTTCACCTTAATTTAGTACTATAAAGCACAAAGACGCAGTACTTGTGATTCAATTTATTTTTGTCGCGTTGTAGACCAGCGTTGTTATGTGCCTCTCACAACGACGCCACTATCGCATTTACCCTAACCAAAATTCATCATTCGCCGATAAACCTGCCTTTGTTGCGAATTCCCGTCATTTTAAACCTTAAAGCTGTAAAGGTGTAGTTTAGCAGTCAGCAAAGGGTGTTTTGCTTACAAAAGTTTGGCTAGAAGTCCTATATACTGGAGTCTATTGAAACTTGAATGAATAGTATTTGATCATAAGCATGACTATTTAGGCACACGGAGATATGAAATTATTTTTAGGTTTACTTGGACTCGGAGCTTTACCAAAATACAACTTGAGCGCTTTTGCAAGGCATAAAGTTATGGTTGAAGGATTCAACCCAATAACGTCTCGGTCATTAATTTGGAGTCATTTCATCTAACCAAACGCGGATCGTATTAAATGGCAGCACACTCCGCCTTAGCGAAGTCGGTCGGTACAGCAGATAGAGTTGGGGGTGTGAATAAAGTGATTTTTAGGGAAAAAAAGCAGCCATTGCTGGTGCACACGGAAATCCATTTGCTGTATGCATGCGTTGCACACCACTGCTTAAGCTGCGCCCTCAAGACAGGAAATGTGATCGACGAAGGAAAATAATTGCCGTTTTATTGAGTGTTAATTAACTGACGGCGCAGAAGGTAAACTCCAACACGCATTGTTCTGAAGAAAATGTGTGAAAATTTATGAAAGTGCTGGTTCGCTTGCAGCCAAATTTTCCCGATCAGCTCGAGTTACTTCGTAGATAGTGGTGCATTGACAGCACCGATGACTTGAACAAGATTCCCGCCAGTAATAGCCTAACCTAGGTAAGGCTTTAACGCCAGCATTAGCGTCTTACTACTCTAATCCAAAACAAATTCGTCACCAATCAACACAAGGCGTACTAGTGTCGAGGGGGATTATCCAGGAAAATGACTTTCATGTGATCGGCAGTTTTTCCAACACAGCCAGCATACTGCAAATCTGGCTCCCTGGTTTGCAGAACCAACTGAAGTACTTGCTGTGCGCATCACTAAATCCTGCAGCACTGCGGTTGAGCACCAAACTTCAATGCCTTTTCTCGAGCTTGGTGACAAATCTCACGCCTAGACTACAGATTTGGCACTCCACTGAAGTGACCTACTTGATTGCAATTAGAGCAATTTGTGTGCTCAAATGCAGAATTTGAGCGTTAGTTGTTTCACTTGCCTTGCCCCATACGATTTATTGTGCATGCATTTTAAATTTGTAAAGGCTCAAGGCATATCTAAATTAGAGAGGTAAATAAGGGAGAAATTTACACTTTCAAAATTAAAGACATTATTGACTCTTCCGCCTGTGTTAGTTGGCAACACAAGAAAGGTATTAAAGCCATGGTTTTTTGTCAAACCAACGTCTGTGATGCTTTTATGAAGAGGTTCGCCGCTTGTTGCACAAGTCACTATCCCAGAACATTGAATAACGCAATTGCGGAGCTTATTCTTATAAAATCAGGTATTAGCTAAAGCTTACCCATTTTTGAGTTCAGCAGGTATACCGTCAGATCCACGTCTGGAAGGATTGGCGGCATAAACACAAGCAATCGTAGAAGTAAAGCGACCCTCTCTCAATAAGGCACTGGTATTTTCATTACGGCCGGATGGCCTCAGACATTCCTCCGCAGCGTTTCGTGAACAATAACCTCAGTTAAGTGTTTGCTGCGTCCCTTAGCCTTCATAAAGCAACCATTTTGCTAATGAACGAAACTCCACAAATTATCACTAAAAGTGAGTTTGGAAATGCATGCACAAAAACTCATGAATTTGCTGTCATTGAGTAGCAGAGCTGTGGGTTAAGCCATCTAATTTATGCGGTTGTTAGTAATCATATAACCTTTATTCAAGAATAAAGACGTCTATACACTGTGCTGAGATTCACAAAAATCAATCCTGGAGCCCTATTAAAAACATGGTGGGAAACAGTTGGTGTTTAATCGTTAGTAATCTTTAAAAATATAAAACGATGGCTTCTAGGTGAAGGAGGAGATTTTAAATGTCTAAAGTAGGAAAGTGGCGTATTAGTGCAATGAACACTTTTTACACTTGGAAGAATTCACGCTAGTAATGAGCGTATCTGCGAGGCACTGATCCACTCCTGGATGTTCGATCGAACGTCGATCTTTGCGGCACATCATACTCGTACCGGTTTCCCCTATAGTCTCCGTATTCCGGATCTAGATAGACAAGGCTCTTGTTACGCACTGCTGCTCGGCTGTTGTAATTGTAACCAGAACTCTCAAATCGCGGTCTAGACGCACGTCTTCGTGATGAGCGGCGAAAGTCGCCGTAGTCGTAGGCATATCGATCGTCTCGTGACTTTCGAGAGACTGGTCGGTAGATCTCGTAGTTAGTGGGATCGAAATTATCGAAAATGTCACTCTTTTGTCGATTCAGCGAGCGCTGCGAATTATAAACGTTCGAATATGCCATAGAGGAAAATGCAAAGGGTTGAACTCGAGGTAGCTTTGGTTCCTCCTCTTCTTTACCATAGAAAGCACGCATAGTTGGATTATGTGCGGCACTGCGATAGAAGTAGTGAGAGGCCGAGGTCACACTAGCGTCACTTTCCTCCGCCATTGGCGTAGAGAAACTTGACCCCGAATTCATGGTTGTGCGCACGCTTCCATTCTTAAAATTGGCACTTTCGCGAATTGGACTCAATTGTAGTTGATCAATCACGTAGCGAAACTTTGTTCCCACAAGCGGAGTGGGAAGGCGTAGCACTCGAAGTTGGTTCCGAACTTTTGAGTTGGCTACAACCATGAACACGAGAGTAGGATCGCGTTCGCATGGATAAGTGGCCTGAATGGCTTTGTAATCAATTTTCTGCTTAATTTTACGACGACTTGACTCGCTACGGTAATGGAGGGAGAGGCAAGAGGAATAATTGTAGACGAAGCCGTGAAATCTCGGGTCTGGCAAACGATTTTCATTGTAGAGGTCATTTACGCGGTCTTGGGTGCTAAGATCATAACTGTCAAACTTCACCGGGTCGGAAATATCTGCAGGACTCTGGAAGAAAATGGCTCTTCCTTCCTTGTCGACCTCTTCAATGGGTAATGCCATGGCGTAGTGGAATGAAACTGCAGCTACTCTGCTGTGTAAGCCATGGCTCTCTCCCCCCACATGTGCACGCGGTGCACAGCCCCGGGGAGTAGCCAATCACAGGCCCAACTGCTTCATTTTCATTGGCAAATGACAGCTGCGCCAGTAGCAAGGCGGCAGATATGCCGTCTGCCCTCCCATTGTCCTGATCTTGACGATTTACCAAAGAATCTTCAATGCATTCATTTATACATTTGTGAGTGAACTGAATAGATCCTCTGTAACTTAGATTGGCAGTGCGTATCCGTTTGACTTTCCTTGCAAGCACTTGTGTTCTTTTATTTTGGCTTGGATAAATAGCACGCATCAACTGCTTTCTGCGTCCCACGTTCTGACGAATCCTGCAACCCACTCGCTGTCTACATAGACTGACTTAACTTCTGCCTTGAATTGAAAGATCGTAGGTAGTTTACAACTGCAAAACTTCTAAAACTTCTACCCCCTTCCCCCCCAAAACGGTTGCCAAACTTTAGGAACAGTAGCACCACTACAAGGCAGGGACATTTCAATGGTCAGCTACTCTGCTTTTAGAGTAGAAGATCTGAATTTGAGAAATGCTTGAAGTACGGGGTTCCGGGGCACTTTGGTCAAGTTTAGTGCCCAAATTTGAGATGTATTTTGGTTTGAGAAATGAGCTCAATCTACTTATGTTTCAGTTGGAGCAAATATTGACGTTTCAATCCCGTGAGGCAAATTATGTTCATCTGAAGTATGCAAATTTTGCATCGCCATTACATATAATTATTATTAAAATAACGGGTTATTTGTTGCATCCGCTTAGCAAATCAGGAGAAAGGTATATTTCCTAAATTTTAAACACTTTCTGCAATAATTTTTTTTGCAATTTTTGTGGAGCTGTACCTCTGTAATGATGTCAACGAAACAGTTAATAAAGTTAGAGCTGATCAGTGTTTTCAATGATAAGTTTAGCAAAGCACTGACCTCCATAGAATTCCAATGCACACGAGAATTGTCAGTACAAAATCAAGTTGATAAATGTTAGCTTCTTTACCATGTATGGTGGCAACAGACTGATATTTTGAGTCTACAACTTATGCGTCGCCTTGTTTCGTGTACCCATGCCAAGTTCGGCAGTCAGGTCTCGGTGCGGCGGCTAAGTTAGCTGCCATCCAAGTTAGCTCCTGCAGTAACTAAGAGGAGGGTTGATCGTCAGCAAGGATGGCACTGTAGCTCCAGAAGAACCTTGGAGCAATATTTAAGATGCAGAATCGAAGTGCCTCCTAACTTATGCGCAGCAGCGTCACAGAAAAGTAGGACGAAATGATGAAATCGAAGTACTAAGGTTTTTACACCTTTGACCGCACTGGCCTCATTGCACTAGTGTCTTATAAAACATTTACTGTCTTATTAAAACGGCTCTGCAGAATCAATTTAAAGTGAAAAATACGAAAAGCTAATCACTAAAGCAATTCTGCTCTTCTTCTATAAATTCAGATTTAGGATTGAGCCAAGGGGGGGCAAGAGTTTTGCGTTGTAATTAGGGGCACTTCAAAAGCCCTAGTCTCTAAGGCATGCCAAACTTAATGCAATCAACAACGCGTGGCACTAACCACATCTATTTGTTAAGCTCTTCTAGGTCCTACTTCTTCGATTCTATCCATCGAAGAGGCAAAGAAAAGGGATGAGTTAAATTTTGGCATCAGATACGGATTTGCGGAATACCTGCTACTAATTTACTCATAGTGGTATGTTCAGTGGTGGCAAATGTGTTGCACATGTTTGGATAGAAGCCTCACCAAAAGAGCTTCCATCGGCTTCCAAATTGAGTCGCACAAGGGAAAGTTTATAGAGCATGTGATGATCAAAGTAGGATAAAATTTGGTGAATGAAGGAAAAAAACACTAATTAGTGTAGGCTAGCAAAGTAAGTTCAGCATGACGTTGAAGGTGTTTCATCTGCTTGGCACGTAGTAGAAAGTACTGCAACTCATTTCGGCTATAAAGCGAATACAATGGGTCTCAGTTACTTGTTTCCTTCTTCCCACTAGTCTCAGTACAAATTCATTTCAAAGTATTCTCCAAAACTAGAGCAAACAAGATCATGCTTGTTAAACTTTGTTTTAGGTATTTTTAACTTGCGGAAATCACTGCAACAGAGTTTAGGTCAAAATACAACAATTTGGTGGTCGGGCATTACCATTACACTTAGACAAGCATGCTAGCAATATCTAATTTTAGAGGCAGAGGAAATGTGCAAGTGATTGGCACAATATTATTTTTTTTTCAGCGCCACCTGATGTGATCAACGATTGTAAAGATGCGTCAGTGTTCCGACACATCAGATAGGAGGACTGGGAATGACTATACATTGGAAAAACACAGGTAATTAGCGATTATTTATGCACATTTCTTATTTTACGGAGCATAAGAGGACATACAATCGCCATAGCAATAACTTCTGCACCCCAAACAGCACTGTTGCAGTGCACTAAAGCCAACATTTGGTAAGTCTTGGCTTTCAGAAAAGGGCGAGTCATCCAATCAAGGCTCGGTTAGCATTATTTCACACATTAAAATCAAGTTTCCCCGTAATACGGGAGAGGCTGTTTCGAATGCCAGAACATGATGATAAGCTTTCCGCATCAGTTGGTGTGAGCAGGTATGACAAGTTAAAGCTTGTACCTGTGCGTGATGGCTAACGTTATGCATCTATGTAATCTGAACCGCGGTTGCATTTCAGTAGTTATTTCCTAGCAAAAATCGTTAGTCGTGCTTGACGTCTATTAGCTGCTTTTTGAAGAGCTTGTTGGAGTACGTTTTGGAGACGCAACTTCTGCTACTACAGAGGTTAGCTGAAACGGAGCCGAAAAAAACTTTTGCAGCAGTTGTCAATGCTGTAGTAATAAAAAAAATGGTTCACTACTAATCATTGCATATGTACAAATTCATGATGGAAGTGACGTGATAATCTGCACTATATTTTGCCTTGATTTTGGACTGACAGTGCAGCAGAAGCGGTTTCCTTTGTAGCATTTATTTAAATTGTATTTGGAGTATTACGATTGTAAAGAATGGGCGTGGAATGACCGGTTAGTGCAGTAAGGAAGTGCCAAAACGACTAAATGGGGTGAAGTTGAGCCATTCTAACAACAAGCATTTCCTACACTGATTCATTCTTGCACGAGTTAGTCAAAAATCAGTCTAATGATTTACATCCCGAAGGATGCAAACATCCGCAATCCATGTAATGGTATCCGAATGAGAAGCCCGAGTACAGAGCTGGCTCACACTTCGCGAGAAGCTGGATAGCTCTCATGCAGATGCCAAAAAGCATCGTGTTGAAGATGCGAAATCATTTGCAGAGGGCATTCGCTTGGTTGGTTGGTAGGAGCCAATCAGGCCCCGTTAGTGCGGAGGCATTGCACAGAGCGGTTCAAATTCATTTCTGTGCAGAGCTATTCAACAGCCAAATGCCTTCTGTTCACAAAGAAAAGAAAAAGAAGGATAATAAAAAGGGAAAGTCGGCAGAAGAGCCAGAAATCTGTCTATTCCAAATCCCTACCTTCAAACCCAAGGCATTTAAATCAAAGGATGAACTTGATGACTTGAAGAATGGCAAACCTATGGATATAAAACTATTCAAAGATGGCGTTCACTTTTATGCACAGGGCAAAAAGAAAGTGAAGCATGAAATTCCATACAATGAGTTGCAAGACATCGAATTTGTTGACGGGTCTCCAGAACTAGTGCGCTTAATAGTGAATTCCAAAGGCAAAACTACCTGCTACCAAGTAATTGTTGCTGATGATGTGAATCGGGAGAAGATGTGTGAATTTTTACGAGAAAAAAAAGGGAAGGAGCACCACGTATCCTCGATGGGTAAAACGGAGCAAACCGTAGAGGAACCAAGCCAGTCTGAGCATAAGCCCCCACCTCCTAAGAACATGGGCTTTGCGGCCTCTGACTTTTCCAAAAACATGTCTTCTGAAATGAGTTACAACGATAACACCAACGTGCATTATGATCCCCCCAACAAGTACAAATCTATGGGGTTAAAGTCAGGCTTCAAAAGCAGTAACATGAGCAGAAACTCCGAAGCTGCATTTGACAGAAGGAGTCGATCGACAGCTTTTAACGTAGATTATCGTCAGGAAGAAGACGATTTTAACAGCATTGCTGACCAATTCGCACAAAGCGTTCATCAAGGTTACGCTCCAAGCAGGCGCTACGAGACGTCCAGCTACGCAAGAAGTCGGATTTCTTATGAACCCGACTATGTGGATGATGACTATGATGAACAGACTTCTGGGTACGTCTATGACGATTCGGAGGACTCGGACGAAACAATTGTTGTTCGACCGGTCAAGCCACGCTCCCTTACCTTTTACACACCATTTCTGAAAGTACCCCGAAATAGAGGACCATACAACTAACCATCTCCACCTACAGACAAATGAGTTCATGTATTTTTTGTAAGGGCTGTTTATGTGGATAATCATCTCTCCTATTTTATAAACGATATCAGAACATTTATCGTAATGAATTGCCTTCTAGTTATATGTTCATTCTTCTTCACTTATATTTCATTTGTATGTCAAATTTTAGCGTAACAGATTACGAACAACTTGAGGTTGTTAGAACATTAGTTTTTGAACAATCTTTGATAGTATTGTACACGAAATATGGAAGTCACAACATTTATTAAGGGCAGGTTAGTGCGTGAGGTTTCAGGATTGACTATTCTGATTCGGAGATGTCTAAAAGAGCATTCAGACTGCTTTAATTACTATAAATGGGGGCAAATTGGCTCAAACCTCCAAAATCTGTTTTCGTTATTTCATTTCTAATTGAATTGTCAAATTAGAAGTGAGGAAGCTACCTCCAACTCACTTCCGCACAGAAGTAACGCTACGTTCCTCTGCCCTTCCAAGTAAGGAAGATGAGATGAGATCGGTTGTGGTAGTGAAGTTGAAGCTCGCTGTAGTGTTCTTTAATCTTCGTGATGAGCAAAATTTATACAACTGCAGATTAAAAATTGATATGTTACTTAAATATGGTAATTTTAGCTTTTCTCTAAAATTAGTAGCAGTGAATGGGAACGGGGAGAATTGTATGTCCACACGACAAGTCCGTGAATTTAGGGCCGTGGGTGGAAGGGAGGTACCAGAAGGCTCAGACAAACAAGGCTGAGTGAGTATGCGAACTTCAACGGTGCTGAGATCGCAAGGCTGAATTTCTGCCTGCCCATTGCATGCAACTCGTATATTTATAGCTATGTTGATCTGTGTGTTAATAGCACTGGTTTAAGCGTTTTAATTTTGCATGTTGAAATCGTCATTCAAAGGCAGATGTGCGAGGCTGCCAATTAAATTAACCACCGGCGCAAAGGATTACCTGTGATGGCGATATGAATGTGTTGGGACTCGTCTCTATGCCTTGGAATAAACTGACCCGTCACACATCCAGCTCATTTGAACAGGCACCGTTTATCAAATCGTATTAAACCACTCCTTTTTATGTCCCTTGTTAGGGTCTCTCAACACAAAATATAAAGCTTCCAAGTCTTTATGTTCCCTTTTATAGATATAAGGACCACTTCAACAAGAAGCATTTGTTGCTCCCCTACTTTTGCACACGTAACAAGTGATACTTTAGTTAAAACATTTACATTTTAATTGCGAATTTCAATACGTTTCGAGGAGAAGCATGCTGCGTCAATTCTATCTTTGATGCTGTAAGGCTGTTTGGCGGTCACTTTAGGAGTTGTCTGGCCCTTGCGCACGTGGGCTGGCCTTTGGACCATGTCCAAGTCCACTTGTCCTGTTGTCCTCAGAATACACGTATTTAGCTGTACTTACTGGCTTCTTATATCGGCCAGGAGGTCTCGGCACGCTACAGACGCAGCTGACAGCGGTTGGTCGATTTGGACTCTGACGCCTCATTCCACAATTAACTTAAATAAAGACTGCGATTGCGTCAATTTTCGATGACTCGTTGTTAAACATGCGTTGACCCCAAGTTTTGGAATAGGCTTTATTCCGAATGTTCTTACGAAAGCACTACTCCATCTGAATAAAATGTTCGGAACTTTGCGAGAAAGGCCCCTTGCGAGTTGTCGTTTCTTTCTATTTGGTAATGGTGAAGCAACCAGGAAGATGACAGTCCATTTACAAGTACTTTTGCTGTTTGTCTACACTGACTCACATGATCCCTTCTCTTCAAATTAGGTGTGGCAGTGCTCTTCTAGGAATAAGAACTAAAACTTTTTTTCTATACATTATTTTATGTAAGCTTCGGACAGGTCTAACCTTTGGCCTTTTAACACTGGTCTAGCAGTGCTTGATGCGAATGACTAAGAAAAATGTACAATTGCATTGTAGTGTACCTTCAATGTCCTTTATTTTTCTTTCTGACAATGCTTACTAGCTACTTATTATTAATCGCCTTAATTAATGCACTTGTTCCTATATGCCAGTGTTTCATCATCGGACGCGTCCATTTCCGTCCATGAACAAACCAGCCCTTTCAGCTTTGAACGCTGTATCGAACCGTAAACCATTTCCATGCTATGAATTCACGTCAAGAGGTATGAAGACATTTGTCTGAGTAGCCGCAGTCGTCCTTATCTTGGTGACACTCAAACTAATGCTGCGATAACAAAAATGGGGCGCCCAGCAGTTTTATTGCGATTACCATCGTAATGTCTTGAGTCTGAATTTTTCAGCTTAGGAATGATCATTATGTGGAAGGACACCAAAGACTGCATAATCAAAAGTGCATTCCTAAAAGTTTAAAGGTTATCAGCCGCTTGGAAGTTGTTTATGCTACATACCTTGCATCAGCAAATGTACAAGATTTCCTTTACGAAGGCGAAAACAGAGGTATTTTCACAGGTGCACTGGATGGATAACCTCCTCACCACACTGAACAAACTCATCTCACTGTGAGTCTGGTAATATTACAGAGACAGTTAATTGCAAGATTTGAGCTATGATGGTTCAATTCAACTTTCACACATACCGATGTAAAAAGTCATTTGCCTATCTCCCGCTCCTCTTGATACAATCGCGGCCTCTACTACTAAACGGCAATTTTTAAACATATCCTCAAGCAAAGGCTTGTCAACCCAATTAGAAAAAGGTCAGTCTTTTGGATACCTGGCAAGATGGATTTGCCATCCGTAGAACTGCCTTCGTTGGGCTCTCTGACAATTGCACAACATCTGATAACGAGTGTTGGATGTTGTCGTCCACTTCACTGAGAAGACTTAATTCAATACGCATAGTTTAAAGTTGTAGATGCTGATAATACAAATCGCCTTTCATAGCCGCAACAAATCACCAAGTGGATGTTGAGTGCATTAATCCTTTGACAATGCTATCGCATCTCTTTAGCTAGCCGCTGATTGATGTCTGTGTGACTCCTGAAGATCTCTGCTGTCTTAATTGAAACGTTCTCCTTACTGACATACGCATGGGCTCTCATCAAGGCACTATGCCATGCCAAAATTGGTGATATTTATGGGAAGGTGCTTTAAGAACAAATATTTACACGTAATGTGATGCAGGTTCATGACGCTTCGCACAATGATAGAATCCGATGCTGGCGAAAGGAACAGTAAAAATGGCAAACATTATCTCAAAAGTAAGGGCTGTTCTTTTGATCAAAACAATATATCAGCCCGTAACTTCAGAAAATAGTTGCCCTTGATGTTATCTAATTGGGGAGCAAACAATCAAAATTTAATGTCTACTTTTCATTTTCAATAGCAAGTCTGTGCTATGCTGCATTCTTGTTGCTGTCTCTGGTGCTATTTGTGCACAATAAAGGGGCAAGCACACCACGTTATGGAAGGTTGAGTCGAACATTGTCAGGTTCGAATGACGACTCGACCAGATACTTAATAACTTTCAGTTCTCTACAAAATATTTATCCCGATTTTCTCTTCCAAAGGCACCGCAGTGCCATTTTATAATCGTATCTGAATGCTATGTTACGTGGCGTTGCAGGCGAAGAGTGCATCAAGACTCTGTGGACCACACTGCCACTCCATACTTGCAGCAGCTCAAAACCGTAATTTTGCTGAAAAGCAGAGTTATGTGCCACCGTAGGTGGGCGCATTAAGGCCTGATTCATGCAGGCTGTCATTTGAGTGTGTCACCGTCATCGACGAGACATCAGCCTTACTGGAGCCAAAGTCAGTGCAGCTCTACGTATTGGTAGAGGGTGTGTACTCGCCGTAAAATGCCTTCAACCCTAACGAAATGTTCAGCTCATTTAATGGCAAAAGCTTACCCTTGATTAAAAAA